GAACTGAGCAACCTCTGAAATAATTCTAGGACTAAGTGCAAGGGAAAGGGGAACCTTCTGATACCAGGGGAAAGGGAAGCTGAGGAACAAAAGGAAAAGAGAGGGAGAAATGAATTAGTAAAATCAATGCTTTGCATACTTTTAGTCTACTATTCTTTTAGAAGTTAGATCACTGTGTATCTTACCTTCGGGATCCAATCAATTTTGCTCCATAAAATTCGTCAGGCACTCCCTCATGTGTTGTCACAACCATCACCTATACCATGTATCAGTAAGCAAATATGTCAATTGTTATGCAAAGGAATCTTGGAATTTAAAGAAAACTTTATAACCTTAAAGTTTAAATAAGCCAATTTGACTGCCAATTTAGCCAGGAAGTTCATTCTCACTAATGCAGGTTCAATTAAGGACATCCATAGTCAATATAATAGAAAAGTGTGAAGATATAGAGAATTTTACCTCATCCCCCATTTCACGCAAGTACCTAATGAAATTCTGGAACCGATTTTTATAACCTGACACATATCTGCAAGAAAAACAGAACAAGGAAATACTTTCAATATGCAACCCCTTCTATTTCATATCAGCTGAATCATGCAACCCGTTGATAGTGAACTATTAGATGATTAGCAACCAAGCAATCTATAATATCACAACTGAAGCCCAATAAATACAGGATGCCTCGTACATGACAACACATTAACGACAAGCTGCCGGAAGATGTAACAGAATTGGTTGTTGAAAAAGCTTAATTCTCAACACATAAATACTAGGAAACCACAAATAAACTCAGGACAACAGCATTCAGGGTCATAGCAGCTAAATAAGCCTCAACTTGCCAGCAGTAACAAGTAACACCCTCGACTTCACCTAATAAGTGGACAGAGATAAAGCTAAAATCAAGATCCCACCTATGACGGCCAAATGTTAACCCACAAATATTGACCAAATAAAAACAGAACGTAAAAGCTAAGCGACAAAACTAGCCAATACTCATTAAAAAAAGGATCCCAAGAACGCCAAATGCCATGCCATAATGGAAAAACAACCAAGCCAGAATGGAAAAACCACCAAGCCAGATAGCAGCTGGCGTAGCACACTAGATTACTTTACCATTGAGATGGAAAGAGCCACTAAATCATTAGGCACACCATAAATCAAAGCTGAGCTAAACCTACCAGCTAAAACAGCAGCAAAAGTCACGGTCTTAACACTTCATTCGGCATCAATCAAAAACAAAATAACCAAATTTTAGCTAAAGCTACTAGCTGACGTATAATCTTCAAAGGAAACACAAATGTCATATAGCTAAAACGACACATCATATCATCTCATCAAACGCAATATTAGTTATAGCTAAACCAGATTAGATCCAAACCCAGAGTCAATGACACTACCTAAAGACACAAACTTCACTTAGAAAAGCTTAAAAACATAAACGTCCATGGCTAAAGGCAACAATTTTAGGCATTTTAATAAGATGGGTATCTCAAAATTGAAGATGTAGTGGTTAAACCATATAGTTCAACTTCCCAAAAAAATAATTTATACGAAAAAAGTCACAGTAGCAAAACAGTAGAGACTCACGCAAAGGGAGAAGGCTCCACAAAGAGGGCAATGCGACGAGGTCTTGAGTTTATCTCTGAATCAACATAAGGAGGAGGACCTTCTTCCTCTTCTTCTTGCTCGACCTCTGTAATAGTCATATTGCTGGCTTTAAGCTCAAGTTTTCTACTTTCCCTCAAACCCCTTGACCTCTCAGAGTAACAAAAGCAAACACCTTGACCGTAAAGGCTACTGGGTTTTGTTCTTGACGAATGGTAGCTTGGGAATCTGAGGAAAGCAGGGGATGGAGAATGAGAAAAGGCAGAGGAAAAAGATGATTGGGTAGCTGTGGAAAAAGAGGGAGGAGAGAGAGAGGGATTTATAGAGAGAGAAGCACAGGTCACCATGATGATTTAGTGTAGTGTAAATTGTAATATAAATTGTATGGAGGTATAACTTGAAGGGGCTTTTGTTAGAAAACTTGAGGGATATATTCCATGGGATTAAGGAATATCATAAAAACAGTGGGTGCATGTGGAAGATGGGATGAATTATGTGCAAAGGAATCTAGAAGACCTTGAAGGACTATGACAATGGATATTCTTTCATGGTGGTATCAAATGGAAGCTCTCTCAGTATATGCCCCTATTCCGTATTGGCTTTGATATGTTGAGAACTTAGGTGAATCTTTCTTCTTCCTTTCTAATTTCTCACACTCTTCTCTGCGGTCAATTTCTTGCATGCCTATCTTTTCAGTTGCACAATTGGACAAGCGAAAAAAGAATAAAGAAGAAAAAATCTTTACACAAATCAATTTTTAGGAGAAAATTGAGCTTGAAAAAAAGGACCAATAATTTAATGGTCTGAATATTGGATTAGCTATTTGTCAGTCGAACTGTAAAACATTGCTTAGATTTCACATCCATCAACCATCTCATCATCTCCATTTAAGTAGGAGCATGTTACCAATACCAAACAAAAGGGGTCCCCACCAATATTCCTACCAATTTTTTTGGATTTACTGATTTTTTTACTTTTGACAACTAGGTGAAAACTTGGAGTGTAAATTTGGATTTACTGATGTGCATTACACTATGAAATCTCAAGTGCAAAATCCTCATTTGTCTCTGTTTGGCATGCATACCCAATTATCCAACGTGCACCTATTCTGCTCGTACTTTTTATACAACTGGCATTTTCATGACGTTTTGGCAGCTTCTCTGTCCCTCCACACTGCTCGTTTGCTTCAATTATTCATCTTTCTTTAGGCTGATGGCTGCTCATTTGCTTCAACGATTCATTCTCGAGGCTCTGAAATATGACTTCTTTTAGAACAATCTAATAGAATATTTTAATAAGAAAATGTAGCGTAAGCCGTTTATGCACACAAGGTCATTCCAAATCATAGATGACACAAAAAAAAATGTAGTTTAATGTTGTTATTTTCTTAATGTCGATATGTCGTAGTTCTAACCCTTGTGTTAATTTTGTTATGTTAAACAAAGGTTTTAGCTTAACCCATTTTGCTTGAATACCCCTTAATTCTATTGTTCAATGTGTAAATGGAAGCCTTAAAAAAATATCCAGAGTATCATAACATATTCGTTTGAATATCCTTTTATTGTTTATTCGATTTCTCAAGTGGCACCCAAATAATGTCGAACCAATCCAACTTCAAAACAAGGATTATCTTAATTTTTTAAGTGGTCTTAGTCATTATTACAAATTTGATACGTATGGAGATATGCTGGTAGATATTAAATTAGGAGATCATAACGCAATCAAACAAATTGCTTTTCAAACTGAGTTTGGGGTTTTCCTCTTTGGCAAGGCTTTCCCTTTAGGTGAAGAAAACAAAACTTGGGATAGCACATGAGAGTCGTAAGAAATATGCTTGGTAACAAATTACATGTTGCATTCCGTCCTCTGCAGAAATGAACTTGAAAAGACTTGTGTACGACGAAGTGCATGGCTCCAAACTAGTGGTGAGCCGGAAAGAATGAAAATGGGATGAGCTTGGAGCCCATCAAACTATGGCCCTCCGAAATCGAATGTGATATACTTTTAAAAAAACATTAAAATGTTTAAAGATTAGCCCAACTTAGATGGAAGTCAGGCAGGCCCATGGAGGGAATCGAAACCCTAAAGTGTCGTATGTTTGCAATTAATCTTTTGGCAACTTGATGTAAAGTCTACTTAGTTGTGGTCCACCAAGGTATCTATTGTTATGCTTTGTGGGAATAGAATTGTTTTAGGTTAAAAAATATAGAGATCGTCTCCAAAGGGTTGGTTAAGTGATATTTCTTTTTAAGTTGTACCGATATCTTTTGAGATAAAGCTTCATACTTGAATGTGACTATAGATTTCGACCGAAAAAAGAAGAATGTGTCCATAGACTTGAGTTGGAGATAACTTGACATTTGTACAATTCACGCGGCCAAGAGGACCTAGGCCCCTACCCCTATGATATCAGCAGCATCTTAATAATCAATCTTTGAACAGGAGAACCTCAAACCAATCTCCTTTCTTCCATAATGAAATGACTGCCAAGGCTAGGAATAAAAAGTGACATATATTCCAACAGGTCATGATTCAAAGGAGATAAGTTTGAACCCAAAACGTGAATGTTGATTTCATACAAGAATGAAGAATTCATGGAGGAAACATTAGTGGAAGACCCACATTAGCAGGAAAAGATCTCTGCATAGACTATTTATATAGAGTACAGAAAAAAAAAAGAGTGAGTTATTGACTGAATATGCAAAATCCACATTTATGGGGAACTGGGAAGCCTTTTTCTTGTCACCCCAGTCAAAAGAACCAATGCAGCAAACAGATTCTGCGACACAGGAATTTTCTGTGTGTGCCAAAGGTTAAAAAAGAAGAGAAAAGAAAGTAAAAGTTCCCTCATATTCACGCCAAACCCAAATCTATGCTCCTCTCTCTCTCTCTCTCAATCTCTAAAAAATTCAAACAGATTCTCTTTATCTCTCTCTCCACAATTCTGATGGACAACTGTAGGAAAATGGAGAGTAGGCCCTGCAGGCAGCACCTAAAAAGCAAAACTTCTGATGAAGAGAAGAGTATCGAGTGCTTGTCTCTCTTGCTCCACTCTTGTCTTCCTCTTATGGCTCCACCACTTCCATCTTTTCTTTTGACCAAAACCCTTTCTTTTTTTTTTTGCCTTTTTTCTTTTTAATCTTCCAAGTTAACTAGTAGATTCATTTTCCCCTCTGTTCATACCTACTCTTAGTGCCAGCTGATTGGTAATAATAACCACCTTTAGCGAAGTATAATTAATCAAATTATAATCAAAGTTCAAAGGCCGGCCTGCAGAGAATGCGGATTAATAATGATCTACCTAATCACATACAGCATGTGCATGGCTCATGCAATATATATATATATATATATATACACACACACACACATATATCAACCGATGAGTGCGTGAACCAAACGCTTATTGCTTGGTCTTGCAGTCAAAACCACCATATGCTTTAACACAAACACACACAACCATTCTCACATTTCATTTCCAGCAAGAAAAACCAAACCAATCCAATTCTCTCTTTTTCTTTTTCATTCTGTGTCCTCTTTTTCCTTTTTTCTCTTTTCCTCAATACCAATCCATCATAAATACTCCTCATAACCAACCCAACTGCCTCCTCTGCTCCCAAATTTGGTGTTTTTCTCTCTCTCTTTTTTCTCTTTGTTGTCCGGTCGAATATGTCGAGGAAAGCTAGTAAGAGGGTGAGTTTCAGTCCTGATGTGAACGAGAAGCCGATTCTGTATCTGAAACAGAGTGGTGGCAATGGCACCAGAGTAAGTGGAAGCAGGAACAGGGTCACTGGAATTTGGGCTTTCAGGCAGCTCAAAGATACAACAGAACTCCCTGCACCCATCAAATTACTACGCACACTCAGGGCTAAGGTGGCCAGAGCTGTGTGTATTATATCTGCAAGAAGTAGGACTTCAAGGAAGGTGTCTTCCTCCAACCACTTGACAAGGTCACGCTCTGTATCTGATCCCATCGAGTCTCATCGAGCCGAAGCTTTAGAGGACTGCATCGAGTTCTTGAACTCTGCTGCTTCTTTGCAGAGGAGCAATTCTGTTACTTCAAATTCTTGTTAATTAGAGATTTGTAGAATATATTACATTAATGTTCATACAAAAGGAAAAAGAAGAAGAAAAAAAGAGAGCTTAGTTTATGGTTGTTGTTTGCATGAAAAATTTATCTGTAACATGTAGAAAGATGCATAATGAGTGCAAATCAAACCTTCTGGTGTGAATTTTGTTACATGGTTTCTTTTAATTTTATTTTAGGTAATCGCTGATACATATATAGTCTCTAACCTCTACGTATACGAGCGCTTATGTAATCACATCACCTTGCCAGTAAGAAATGCCAGTAAGAGCATAATTCACATCACCTTGCCACAAAGTTTACCAAAATCTGAAGATTCGATCTTTTAAGTCTCATTAGAAATTACTGTGCTTATTCTTCAAGTTGAAAGTATAAGCTGTCGAATATTTTATCAGTACCAAACATGATACCAAGTTACCACTCATGGATACTGATAATTCTCTGGGGGCAGAATGGGCCGTGGACCTAGAGTCGCGTGCCTCTTTTTACCTTACCAGAATTCACAGGTTGCTGTCTCAGGACCACTATCGTTCAACTCAACGAATATACCGCTTTTTACATCTACTTTATCTCAATCTTTTGACCCAACAAAGTAGAGCTCAATTTGCCCTGTATATTCGAGTGACCCTAGGAATTAGGAGCACAAAAGCACACAATCGAAAGCCACCTTATCATTGCATTGCTTCCAATGGAAGTGTAAAGAGCATCTTGTCTACTGATATTTGAATACCCCATGATATCATTTCCAATCTCAGAAAGATTATAGTTATATCAAGATTAATCAGATAATGTGAGACATACACACTGTTACAACAAGAAAGGGATGAATAATTGTCTAAAAATTTGGGACATAAGACCATCTGTAGTTTAAATTAGATATCTAAGGATCCCTAAGTTGTTTGATCCTGCGTATAAATGATCGCGTTCATGACTCCAAAGAAAGCTTCTCAAGCTCTGTGATGCCCTGGCTGGAAGCTTTCTTCATTTCTAGAGCTCTCTTATAAGGAGGGGCTATTGGGGGCTGTACGGGATCCAAGCTCCGGTAAGTTCCCTGGGCATCTTTAGGTAGTGGATATGAACGGTCAGAGTCATATCCGCTGAGGTCACCGCAAGCTAGAAATGGAATATACACCTTATTTGGCCCTTCCAACCACCCACTACTGCAATCTGCAAAGTTAAACCATGCAATGAAGTCAATACTGCAATTTCAGAACAAGGAACTTATTCAAAATTCATAAGAAGTTGGAGCTGTTGATCTCTATTTGAACTGCGACTGTTTGTCAGACTCAGACCATCAAGCATCATAAAGAATTATAAGAATGCCCATCGATATTGTAACTTCGTGAATATAAGAGTCTCCGCATATCTCAATGTAGAAGATTTTACATACCTAGATCATCTGCTCCTGAGGGACTTCCCACCTTTTCTAGGAGACGATGCAGATCCTTAGGGTTGAATCCATCAGGAGGAGAATAATTCTCACAAACTGCAAATGCCTCTGTATGATAAATAGTACCAGCATTAGTTTGGACACAGTAGAAGCAGTCCAACAATGTCATGTTAAATTTTCAGCATTTTGTAAGTGTTATCATGCACACGCGTATGCTCCTCTGAAGGGAGGGGGATTTGAATATCAAATGGAATCAGATCAGTCTGCTCATTTCATGCAGCATTTGTATATCTAGAACAGAATTGTATTTTAACTCGATTGCCCATACAACCTTAAGAAATTACCAGGATTCTTTATCAATTTAGCCAATTTTAATTAAGAAAGAGTTGACAAGATGATTGATCCTATTTCATGGCAAATGTACTGGATTAGTAGGGATTGAAAAGAACTGAGAATGTAAACTGCCAAGAAAAACAAAATGAAGCCCAATCTGTTACCTATGCTGGAATTGCGACTACTTTTTGGTTTTGCAAAAGTCACCAAGGGGAAGAATAGTTTCAGCTGCAACAAAATCAGCAAAATAACCAGGGAATTAGTTCAATGGAAGTCATGGTTCATCTTACAAATAAAAGAACTGCAGAAATATATATTTTTAACAACTTTTATTAGGCACCCAAATATGGAAGCTTAAAACCTACCTGGCAGTAGAGAAGACTTGTATCTTTTCCACGGAATATCTTTGCAATAAATTTTCCACCTTCTTTAAGTACATGAGTAACAATCGTCAAACCCTGCAAGGAAGATCCACCAGCTGGTGTCAATATAATAGAAAGTTCAACAGCATAACAAATTTTAGACAAATTTAGGTCAGAAAGATAGAATGTGATGCAGAATAATGAGCACAGGAACCACGTGTATTTTATATTCCTTCTAAATCAGGTAACTTTCATGCAAAAATATGATGATATATTGCTTGTACAGACTTACAGGACACTTACTGCTAGTATCAGCTGGGACTGAACGAATTCATCCATGTCATGAAGGCCAGTAACTGCAAATCAAAATAAAGTAAAGCTTAAGAAAATAGTAATTATGAAAGAAAGCAGTAACAAGAAGATCGACCATGAAACTAAAAATGTCAGCATACCATCTGGAGCACCATCACACACAACCAGGTCAGCCTTGCAACCATCAAAATGTCTGATGACCTAAAAGGGTCAACAAAAAGTCAGATAAAAAAATGGATGCCAATACACATCACCATATACAAAAAGAAAGAAAAATGTAGAGCTAGGGAAGTAGAAATGTAGCTGATCCTTACGATTTCAGCGGTTCGAGCATTAGTTATATCACCCTGCACTTGAATAACACCTTCAATTGGAGCCATGGGCTGCAAATCAATAGCTACAATAAGGGGCACATCACCATCCCTGAAAATATCGATAAAAAGAGAAAGTTAGGGTCTTGGTTTGCTAAGAAGAATAGTTATACTACTAGTATAAGCAGTAGTTGACAACTTACTTAGAATCTGATGAACTCTTTGCTGGGAGATACAATTTCCTACTCAAAACCTAAACCACAATACGCATCAAAATTAGGAACTGGGAATTGGGTTTTCAGTAAAATAGCAAAAGGGCAATATCAAAATCAATATCAGTACCTGACTCCAGCTACCAGGGGCAGCACAAAGATCGACGACCCGCTTCACTCCATCAAATATGTTGAATTCCTCGTCAATCTGAAGAAGCTTGAAGGCACTGCGAGCACGCCAACCTTCTTCTTTTGCTTTTCGATAGTATATATCCCTCTTATCCCTTGAAGCTTTCCCCATCTCTCTTTAACAATAACTACTAATCTGCTGCTATTCTCTCAATGTATTTTTTCAGCTTCTTTAAATTCACATAATCAATGGAGTTAGGGAATTTCAGAAATTGGCCGTGCTCCAACACGCAGTGTCGCAAAACCCTAAACCCTCCACTGATTCGTTTCTAACTTTTTTATTTTACCAGAGGCCAGGGCTAATTGGCCGTGCCGCCACCATGGGTTTGTGTGAGGAAGATGTGCAAATAACGGTGTGCCGTTTTTCGAGAGTTATCAACTCAACGACATGTAGTTTCTTTGTCCGAAATTTTTTTTTTCTTCATTTTTTGTTTGTTTGTATTTGGAGCTTAGCCTAAACTAGCTTTGGTTGAAATTGAACAGAGGCAATTGAACAGAATCCTGAGCCTCTGAATTTAGAATCCATGCATTTTTCTGCATTTTGCAAAATCTAGAACATTCAAATAATCTAATGTTTGTGGATAGGCCACATCAGGTATGATTTTTTTTATTTCCCCAAATTGACGGTAACGACAGCCTTTTTTCTAACGGCAGACACTGCCTCTTTTTTTTTGTTTTTTATACGGGTAACACCACCTCTTTCTTCTATCGTTCTGGAAAAGACACCCATCTTCATTTGCTAAAAATTGAATTAGAAGAAGAAGCTGAACGAAAAAGAAGAGAGATTATGGATACACATGAAGAAGAGAGACGGGGCTCAACACCGTCCAGGAAGGGCTGGAAGGAAATCTAACAACCAAGCCCATTCATCAAATGCTCTTTCTTGGTCATCTTAATGGGACGTTTATTAATCCGTTATCAAAGTGAACATAAATTATCCAATGGGATGTCTACTAAATACTAATCCAATCATTTTAATCATTCCGCATAAACATCATATGGGTTGGGAATGGATGCAACATCTCTCATTTCTCTCTCACAACTAAATTTTAAATTTAGGGACAACTTTATTTACTTATTTTTAAGAAAAATAGCAAAAACGATAAAACACTACACTTTTCTTGTGCAGCAAAAAGAGGCAAATCGGGAAATTTTATCAGGACTACATGTACCATGCTTAATTGCATGGTACTAAAATCTAAAACTTTTCCGATATCATATAACAAATCAATGACAAAGATATCTCAACCTGCAAATCCTGTCAATATTGAGAATACAAAATCTTCAATAAAGGCCTCAAAAGTGGCAGATCAAATTGGCTACAAGACGAAAGCTTAGAGCACTGTTCACAACCGCTGAAACCCCAATCACCAGCAAATAATGGTTTTCAGCTTCCAGCGACAGATGGGGCCGTTGCTGGCTTTGCATCCTCAGCTTTCTCGTGTTCTTTGTTTAGCATCTGTAAAACAGATTTGAAAAAAAATCATAGAGATACACAGTTAATCTGCCAGAAGGCTAGAATTTGAATTCAGTTCTAAATGTCATACGCTAATTCTCATTAATTAATGAGGTTCAAGGGAGAGCATACTATCACATTCCCAACTTTTAAAATTCCAATCTAGGGTAGTGTATTCTAATTCTCATATGTCAAGAGGCACAATGGTGAGGACAGCATCTCATCCCCCAACTCATATTGTCCAACCTACAGGGGGAGAGGGAAGGGGGGCGTTCACGGGAATAATAGATTAATAGTTTCATATTTTTCCTTTTTGAGAAGAATAGCTTCATACTTTTATTTGCATAGTTGGGAACAAATTAAAGGAAACCAAAATCTTGCACGGAGTTGACTGTTCACACTTTTTTTTTTGCTTTCTTATGTACAGCAACCAACAATGTATGCCAGCAAAACAGAACCTTAACAGGTGGTACTGGACTCCTACACGGTGTTTCTCATGTGCAGCTCAGAGAGAGCCAAAAAGGGAGGGAGATATAAGGGGATCCGAAACACTCAGAACCAAATTCAAAACCTTTCTGATGCTGTTGTCTGCTTCTGGTCAATAGAACAGGAGGAGTTAGAAAGAGCATGGTTACCTTGTTATTGATCAAGTTGTGGAGGGCAATGACGCTTCGGATGAGAGATGAAAGATATATAACCAACATCATGTCATTTGTTTTTACTGCATAGAGAAGGGAAATATAAATCAGAAAGCCTAAATTAAACAGAAGAGCTATCTAAATTATTAGGACCTGCACACACTAGATATTTTTGCTTGTATACCTGAAAACCCCTTGACCAACTCTGCCACATTGAGATTTGGAAGTAGATTGAATACATCCTGAAATTCAACATAAAAATTCTTAATATGACTAATTTATGCTAAAATTAAACCCAAAAACAAAGTGAGTATGCAGGAAGAACGAGGTAGCTAGCGAGAGAGTAAATAAGTAATGAAAAGTGTACCTGCAAATGGTAAAGTATCTCATGATTTAGTGGAAGCTTCTCATCAATGACAAGATCTAGGTAACTGCGTATTTCTCGTAACCGTGCATCCAAACCCTTTAGAGCGGTAAGTTTTCCAGTAACCTGTAAATAAAAAAAGGTAAATACATTCCTTCCACTTCATTATAATGCAGATTCTTTAACATTAATAAGGATTCAATTCTCAAGGTTTTCTCTGTAGTTGAAAGTAAAAAAGATGCCCAAAGAAAAAAGAAAACTTGAATTGAAGAACCTCATTTGCAAGGGTGCTGATGGTTGTATCCTTCACATCCCTTAGTAAGTGTTCCACTCCTGCAGATAAATAACAAAAGAACACAATCAATATATTAGGATTTTGAACTACACTAGAGGGAAAAAAACACAAAATCAGGTTATCTTTTCTACCGTTTTTGAACAGAGAAAAGTGTTAACAAGAAAATGTAACTATTCTTCCTATGACATACCAATTTCCTCAACCTCATGAGCCGCAATTTCAGAGGGCACGTGGACAAAAATCTTCTGGCTTTTCTGAGTTGCATTCTGTAAGTATTATCAAGCCTTTACATTAGCTGCATGGGAGGCTATATGGAATAGCTTGTCGGGAATGTAGAAACAAACAACTACATTCCTCCACATTTAATCAGGGATAGTAGCCAGCTAAGAACATGTAAACCCATGGTTACCTCTTTAACTTCTTCGACATCATAGTAGGCTTTGGTGGGTATTCCCAGCTCCTTAGGCTGGACATCAATAATGACCAGGACTGGATTTGGTACATAGCTGCATACCATAAGGAACTTGATTTACAAACAAAGTAAAAGCAAGTATCCCCAGCTTGCCAAGAGAATATATATTATATAAAATATTAATTCATTAATCTAAACGACATGCATTGAATAGAATCACATCAGGACCGTAGTAAAGAGAGAAGAAGGAAAGCATATGCAGGGTACAATGCATAATGCAGCTACACGCACGCATATACTGATTTACATGATCTTACTTGTGGAATAAACTGTGAATATCCAGATCATTCTCCCGTAGTTTCGGCCCAGTGCTATACCAACCTACGACGTGCTCCTTGGCTGAAATGTAACAGATATTCATTTTACAGAGATTACTAACAACTCCAAGAAGAGAGGGGCGAGGGAAGGAAAACAGAGCCAGCGTCCATATTTACATAAAAGTTGAACAGAAGTTACCATTGATCCTCTTGAACATAGAGAACATCGCTTCATGGTAGTTGTGGTCAAGAAACCAAATGCTAGGGTCTCTATCATCTTCTTCAAAGGGCACTGAACATTAAAAATGAAACAGTTAGAAACATGTCAATTTCAAGCTCAATCTTCAACCACTGTAAAATGAAGCCCAAATGCATTGGCCCTATTGTGCAAACCCTAACCCCACATCAAATCACTCATACGGAGAATAAAACAATAACCCCAATTCGAATCACGAAACTAGTGTCGATTTAGATTCCACAAAACCCTAAAAATTTCAAAATCTCCGAATCTACAATCAATTCAACAAATTTCCGGATCAAAACCTAACAAAGAAGTAAAAATGGGGATTTGGGCAAAAGATCAATAATGCCGTAAAATCAAGTGAGGGCATTGAGATTATCGGACCTGCGTAGCTGTTGGAGACGTCGACGACGCCTTTGTAAGTGCTTCCGAGTAGAACGCCGACGACTCGCTTGCGAGTGTCCTTGGCGACTCGGTTGTAGTTGTCGACGATGCTGAGCAGAACGAGTGGGTGAACTATCACCTTCTCGATGAGCCTCGCTGATACTTGCTGCGTCTTGATAACGTCCATGGCGATATTTCGATCTGTGCTCTGATGATATTCGGATTTTTTTCGAGATTTTCTATTTAAACCTCACACTTCTCTTAGTTCACCCCATGTTCTAAGTTCACCCCAACTTTTAATTTAAATTTTCACAATTTCTAAGAAAACCCCACTATCTTCCCAAACTACCCTTAAATACACCCCAAACTAAAAAAATAAAAACTAAAAGAGATTTTCTATTTAAATCCCACAATTTTCTTTGTTCCCAGCAAAAAAAAAAATACAAACAAATGAAACCCCAAATCTGAAATTTAATATTTCCTAGAGAAAGAAAACAACTTTACCTTTCTCCAAGAACTGTAACTGGAATTCTAACACTTGGGTATTGCTGAGTTGAGAGAGAGAGAGAGAGAGAGAG